TTTGCACCCCCATTAAGTCTTACCTAGGTCAACTCACACAGGTTGGCTCATACCCAAGTCAACTCATACTCCCCAGTCCACAGGGATATGTGGAGCGTAGTACAGGTATTTTTTTTTTATGCTTGCATTTATGGAAGGCAAATGTATTTATAAAGACTATGGTTTCCTTTTACGGTCTGATTTCAAATCCATTGAAATATTCCTCAGTGGTGTTTTGGAAGTAGGACCTAATGGCATCTGACTACAGCACCCCCTGAACACATGTTCTGGAGGTCGCATGTCCCTCTCCAGTTAATGTCTTTGTCCATCTTCAAGCATCTGAGTCTGTTTTCTTGTTTAATTTGAATAAAAAAAATCAATGAATAAACTCTGATTGAATTTGTGTGTTTGAGGTTAGTTTCTTTTGGGGAGAAGGGGCATTCAGTCGATCAGTGATAAACAACGCTGTAGTGTGTCGCTGTTGTTTCCACATCTTTCATAATAAGTTGACAATTTCTTTTCTTGTTTGACTTAAAAAACTGACTTGTGACTTTACTTGGCCTTCAAAAATGGAGTTTACTGCCACCTCTGGTTGTTACAGGTTTACAATAGCATTATATCTTGGTTGTACCGGTATGCCTTTGAGTTTATGATTCTTTAATTAACTCAAAAAAACTGTGATTGGGTGTGAAAGCTTAAGTTGGTTTCTTCGGGGAGATGGGATGTTCAGTTAAATCTCTAGTAAAGCAATGTATGTTATGATCACAATCTTTCACTATGAGAAATGTCTTGAAATGATCCTGCCATGTTTGATATGCTGCTTCATGAACTTGAAGCAGACCATCATGCATGATGTATGCAGCAGCATCCAAATCATTGTGGTGGCACTTTAAAAGACACAGCAGGCTAGCAAGTCAGTTGCTTGGTATTGAAAGTGGCTTCAATGCCAAGTTGTTTGAAGAGGATATGTGAGACCAGATTGGTTGAAGATAAATCGCACTGAATCCTTCAAACCCTTTAAATAAGCCTTGGTGAGTGAGTGTAGACAGTCATTCTGAATGGAGCTTACACTTTCTAGTTACGATACCAGTTCTGTATTCTGCGATCCGAGCCAAGCTTCCATATCAAGATGGCACCAAAGTATCTGTGCATTGAGTACAACAAGGCCATCCATACTTCCCATGAAACCTTCCAGTACGATTTTTGTGATGGCAGCACTGAGAGTGTGACACTGGCATCACACCTAAGTAATATCAGGGGATTGTTGGCAACCCTGACTGTCTCTCCATCTGGGTATACACCATCATGTATGTGCCAACAGTGAAGTTCCATCCTCTCTATGTAGCGTCAGAAATAAGATGAGTAGATGCTGGGTGTCAGTCTGCCAGGACGGGCTTGACTTCTCCTTCGGCATGCACACTACTAACACCCACCCGGCTCTGCCTAGAGGTGACATTGCAGTCCAGGCTGTTGCAACTGTGAAGAGGGCTGCACGAGAAGAAGTCTTCCCCCCCGCTGGTGCTTTAGTGGAGCAAGTCCTGAGCACCACTGCAAATACTGCCCCAGCCGGCTGCCCCAACTTGTCGTATTCAAGACGCACTGCCAACCGAGTCTGTCAAACCTAGCACCCTCTCGAAGCAAGAAACCTCGACTTTGAGTTAGCTGCCAACTTCATGTGAGCTAACTTTCTGCAGAAGGACAACAAGTGTGGGGAGCATGCCATCTTCTCTTCTTCACTGAGGACCAGCTGGTTGTTCTAGATGCCACCAAGACTTGGTACAGTACTTTCATGGTACGTGTACCTTCAAGCTTGTACAGTATCTGTTCGTGCACTTTCGCTTCATGCCTTCATCAGAGCCTAGTCAGGCAAAGTCAAGCAACTACCACTTGCCTTCATCTTGATATGGGTCAAAAAGGACTACAAGAAGATATGTTCTGAAAATTGCTATCTTCTTTTTCAAATTTGTGAAAAGTATCTTTGGAAAAGCTTGAAAAGATATCACCAACCAGTCTGTTTTGGTTACAGCTAGATTTGTAAATGTATGTTAGGTATTTTGTGCTTCTTTTTTCGGATTCTTTCATGCAGGTCTTGAAGTGCATCAGATAGAAGTTGCCATCCAGAGGCAGCAGCTTTCAAGAAGCTGTTCTGGACTTCGAGGCTGGTGTCTGGTCTGCCATTCACAGTGTCCTCCCACATGTCCACATCACAGGATGTCTCTATCACTGGACACAGGAAGTATGGCGGAAGTGTGAGGCACTAAGCCTTCAAGTCCCTTACACCACGAATCCAGCAGTGGGGAATACATCTGGCCGCTGATGTCAGTACCATTCTTGCCTGCCGAGCATATTAAGGAGGCCTTCCACTACCTTCAGGCCCAAGCATTAAATCATCCTCTCCAACTACTCTGCCAGTATATTGAGGCAACTTAGCTGCAGCACAGCACTTGGGTGCTGCAAACTGGTCGGTGCTCATGTGAGCCATACGCACTAACAACGATGTTGAAGGGTGGCATCGTCGGCTGAATGAGAGGGCAGGCCACCAGTTTGTCCTATTTTACACAGTTGTTGCACTGCTTCACAGCAAGGTGACCATGGTCAAGCTCTAGATGTATCTGCTGAAGGAATCCAATCTATGACAGCACAAAGCAAAAGAAGATCAAGACATTCCAAGAGATAATTATGCCTGTTGTATGTTGTTGATTGATAAAAATTGAGCTTTTTTCCTTGTCTTTCTTTGTCTTTTCTGACCAATGACTACATGTACATGTAATTTACCATAGATTAACACAACGATGGTAAGGGAAATTTCCTCATTTGGCCTATGCAAAAGAAAAATCAGAAAGTAATCATTAATAAACGGCAGTCATGTCACAGCTGTCATTTCTGGGGCCAAAAATGAAGAGAATTTCACCATTTTAATGGAGAAGGTGAATAAACATCCCTAGCATGTAACGTCACCAAAACGTGAGCAAATAAGAGAAAAGAAAAAAGGAAGAAAACAATCACAAACATGTTGCTGGAGGTTTGGGCCACAGATGCCAGTATTTTGATCGAGGACTAGGGTACAAGTTGACCGGGGTACGAGCTGACCTGGGTACTGGTTAAGGCAGGTACATGTATGAATTGACCAGGGTACGAGTTAACTTGCGTACAAGTTCACTCGGGTATGATTTGACCCAAAGTTGTCCCCAGTCCTTCTACAAATTTCTTCCATAAATCAGTTTAATGACTGCACAGGATACAGATGAAGTTTATTCCAATCCTTTATTGCTCTTGGGAAAAAAGCTTTTCTCAAAAAACTCTTGTACGGTATGGATTTGTTGGTGGAATACAATCATGCACAAACCATATCAAGCCATATCACTGGACACGTTGTGGGGAGCAGCTCAATCAACGTTTTGCCTTCTTGAGGATCAGACTGATGCTAAAAATCTAGTTTGGTAATATCAATGTAAGCCTTTAGGTCGGGATCATTGAACATTTATTTATTAGTGATTGCTCTAGGAGAGCTCCGGTTTATTATGAACTTACATGTACCCTTTTCACAATCATTTTCTAATCATTTTCTTCTTTTGTCCCCATTTGTCATGTTTAGAGAAATCTTAAACTATGGGTGCATGCATGCCTTGTTTGTTTGGCACTGCAGATGATTATGATCAAAACCAACCAGATGAGGTAAGTGTCAGAAGTGGTACAAGTTACATGTAAGTCTGCCCCCCCATTCTGATGTGCTTGCTCAATTTTTAAAAACTTGGTATACATGTAAAAACACTCATCATTACAAATATGAAGTTTGAACTCAATCACAGGCATGGTTTTGTTGATGGAGTCTTTGAAGTTCAAGGCTACATGCGTGCCAGCCTGCATGCATTGAACACCGCAGTGGAAAAAGTTAATATTTTTGGCTGACCCGTCTCGGGAAAAATGTGCACTGCACAAGAACGTTATGTTGAATTTTTTGCCCAAAATGGTGTCAAAATGATCGCAAAGAGCTACTTTAAATACTCCTAATGGCTCAACTCCTGAAAAAAGGCACTGCAGCGATATCAGAAAAAAATGTTGGGGGGGGGGAGGTTCTTCCCCCAGGGTTCTTTCATGGTTTAATTTTTTTTTATTTGTATCTTTTTGTTATTATTATTTTCTTTTTTGGGGGGAGGGGACTTGCTATTGTGGACTTGGATTGCGATCAGCTGCAGTGTATGGTACATCTACTAATTAACAGATTGCTGCAAGTTACACTTGGGACTTTTTAGATGTTAATGGATATTTGAGTCCTACCGGGGGCTATCTGTGCATTGCCCCTGTTCTTAAACGTGATCCTTCCTCTTGAAGAAGTTTTTGTGTTATCAGATGGAAATATAAGGGTAGGTCTCTCAGTAGCTCTCATGATCAGGCATCACAGTAGGCCTACTTAACTCCTTGTTATCAAGAGTTTCAGAAGATTCTTATTTATTTTACGTGATAGAATGTGTATCCAGTTTGTAAGTGACTTCGTCACAAAGGCGGACGAGCCACGATTTGCAGGCTCCCATTGGACGATCACTGAAGTTGCACGTTAACTTCCAGTTCCATGTAAAAGGCAATCAATGCATGTAACTCTGTGTGCAGTGCATGTGCAGTGGGCATGGTTTAAACTGAAGTGACGTCACACTTAAGAACGGGATAGACATGAATAGAGTGCAAGCGTAATGGGGTGCAATCAATGCATGTACGTGTATGTTAGAGGTTTCCAAGTTTATTGTCAAGTTTGATATTTGACAGAGGACAGGTACTAGCACATGCAAGAATGAACATTTGAATATTTAGGGTACTCCCCATAAAAAATGCAACCTAGAAGTAATAGCTGTTTTCTCCCAAAATAATTGTCAGAAATTGTTGTTACTTTTTCGAATTGAAGACTTCATTTCAGTCTGGTAATGCATTGTGGAGATAACTCTAAGCTTCAATGTGATACCAAAAGTAACAATTTCTCCCCCTACCTAGAGTACCACTGCATACCTACCAGATTACCAATCTCCCTCCCTCCTCCCCACACTGCCTCGGTGCACTTTGCGTATGGAAAAAGAGGAAGAACATGGCGGCCGCCTGCACGGGGGTCAAATGAGTGAGGGCGCTCTGCTGGTGATCAAGAATTTAGTGAATGGATGTAATGGACTAGGAAATAATGCATATGTATTGGTAATCTGCGTAAGGTTGCAGGCAGTAGACCCTGATATTTGTTATGGAAGAAAATGAGTGCTACTTTTTGCTTGTGATTTTTAGCGGTCACCCTGCATACCCAATATACATGTAAGTTTCAGTGAAAGAGTTTTCGACGTTGTAGGCCATGATTGCTATGTGCAGACAAAAACCACTCGTCAACATTTTGAAGCTGTTATGTTTGTGTTTCTGCTGGCTAGGAGACAAGACGTAAACAGCAAGCAGAAGCAGCAGAGAAACGTTTCAAGCAGGTATGCTCACATACAGTGCATTGCTCCATTAAACTACATGTACAGGATTGGGCTGTTGATATTGGTTCTTTTTTATGTATACATGTAGTAACTTGCCTGAAAGCCTTTCTTTACAGGCCAAAGTGCCACAATGATAGGAGGAGTTTGAAGGCAATGCTGAAAAAACCAGATTTTTCCTCTTTGCCTGGCAAGAAGTAATTTTTGACATAATAAAGATGGGGTCTAAAGAGCAGACATTTTCGGCCAACAGACATCGCAATTCTCTGAACATAATCTATTAACCTTTCTTAACTCAATAAAGTCCTCTGGGCAGTTCGGGATATTGTAGGACTGGGGATGAGTGGCAAATACGTGTGGCTAATTGTGAAAAATGCATTGTGTCAAAGTCTCGGGTTAGACCATCTGTTTTTTATACTCTGCTACGCATACATTCAGGCCAAGGTTATATTTGAAATCATCCACATTGCTTCAGGATATTATTACACTGCCTCAACATAATGACAGGAATTGCCAGAGAATTTTGAAGGATTTAAGTAGTAGTCACCCCTCTAAGGAACAAATGGTTTGGAAGAGGTTTGGAAGATTGATGTTATATCTAGTTCATTACCTAGAGGCAGTTTGAGGATTTTGAAGGACCAAGGATACATCCTAGCCAGAGGGTCTATATACTGGTTTAGGGTTGGTTAGGATTGATTAATCCACAGAGAATCTACAATCTACAAAGCATTCCAAAATCTATCTGTCAGAAAATGTGGCATAAAGTTTGTAGAGTGGACAACAGTGGGATTGGTTTTTTGGGCATTGGCTGCATAATTGGTACATGTACATGATTCATGAGACACTTGATGATATTATTTATTGAAGTGTGTGTTTGTATACTTACAAGTGTGCAGGTTTCTAAACCATTTGTCTCACTTCCTTTTATCCCGCTCTGACATTTCTGCATGAGTCAATGGATCTTTTGAAGGAATTTGATTCATGAAATAGTACATGTACAAACACAAAAATATGATGACTGGACAAGTTATCAGAAAATTGATTTCCACGTTTAATGGGCAAAGGCTGTCCAAATGCATTCAAGAATGCTCAGTTGTTTGCCAGTATGGCTCCTCCCATTTACCACATGTTCTCTATTTATAAAATTGACTTTGTTTTGTCTCTGATACTTGTATGTCAACACTTTTTGGTTGCAGGAGGAGTCCAGGGGATTAGCAGACCCAGAGGGAGCGAAGAAACGACGACAACAAAAGGAAGAAGCTGAGAGGAAAGCAGAAGAACTGGAGCAGAAAGGAGGTGGTGAAAACAAACTGTCTGTAAGTTGGAGTTACTGTCTATTTCATAAATGGACAGTTGGACTAGTCCTATTCGTTGAGACCTTGTCTGCTGATTTACATTGAGCTTTAATTCTCTCAGATCCTTGAAATTCACCACAGTGCATTGTAGGATTTTATACGGGATTGAGGAATGCAGCCAGTCATGTTTATACTGAACATGGGGCCAGATACCCATGAAAGGATGAAGCACTGTGCCATTCCTGTGGAGTAACTGATTTGGGGGGATTCAGGAAGGGTTGTAGCAAAATGCTTAGAGACACTGTAGAGCAGCTGTTACCAAGAACTTCACCTAAGCAGTAATGCCAGAAGCTGGTTCTGAATTATCAAAACGTGGTACCCAAAGCCAGCTATACAAATCACTTAGTAACTCTCAAGACAAAGAGAACAGGTTTCAAAAGTTTTTGTTTGGAAATTGTAAAATAAAATCCAGGCTACATGGAATGCTGAAACATGTTTTCTTTTGATGTTGGGGTTAGGTTTGTTGATGGGTACCCATGTTTTACTTCAGTACGATGCATGGTTCTCACTATCCATCAGTGCACAAAACTAAGGAATTGTTGTTGGGTGTATATCTGTTGAATTTGGGACACATATTGATTAATGAGTGATTTGTTTTATTTCAGTGGCAAGTTGGCTGAGAGATGCAGGTTTCCTGTACCAGAAGATGAACACTTCATTGAGAAATCTACTGATAACCTGCCCATCTGCTATATTTTGTATATATCAATGAACATGCACATATATGCTATTTATTTGAAAAATTGCAATGTTGATTGGGCCATTATATCTTAGCCTTTTGTTATTGATGTTTTACTTATTTTATTTCATATTTTTGTAAGCATAAATCATAAGCAGATGACAGAAGTTCTTTTCCAACATGTTGTACAGTGCAGATCATCTCAAATTGCAACATGTTTTCATTTCTTGATTTTGCAATCTGTTGTATGTATTAAATTTCCAATAAACACTTAATAGATTTTGAAAATCATTGGATTAAATGGATGTTTGATAGCTGTATTGTCACTTTGCAAATTTAATTTACTGTTGTTGACAGTAGTTTGTTGATGTATATCAAATAATTGTTCACATTTCAGAACTTTCATTGAATAAAGTACTTTCAGGTCACAGCCTTAATAGGATCAATGGTAAATATCATTTATCCAAAGCAATTTGGAGGAATATCACTGAAGTAAAAACTGTGCTGGCATAGTGTCATGTCATTGCTGGGATCAAAATATTGTGCATGCCTTCTTACTTCAGTATATTATTTCGGTGTTAAACATGTACTGAATGGATACTGGGATTCATACGACATGCAAATAATGCTTTGGATTATCGACAAGGTAATGTTTATTCAGTAGTATGATGAATAATACTCGGCATGTTGAGATTCATATAACATGCAAATAATGCTTTGGATTATTGACAAGGTAATGTTTATTCAGTAGTATGATGAATAATACTCGGCATGTTGAGATTCATATAACAAGCAAATAATGCTTTGGATTATTGACAAGGTAATGTATATTCAGTAGTATGATGAATAATACTCGGCATGTTGAGATTCATGTAACAAACAAATAATGCTTTGGATTATTGACAAGGTAATGTATATTCAGTAGTATGATGAATCATACCTGGTTTGCTGCATTTTTCAATTCACATTCTAATTTATTTACTGCTGGTTACGAAAGTAAAACAGAAATTTCAACAAAAACAACATAGGGGTACTGTGGTGGACTCAAAGCAAGAAAACAGTGATTTATGTCCATTCATGTATACTTTGTTGATATACCGGACTACCGGTGCAGGTAACCGTAGGCAGTAAATGGAATGAAGTCACACATACATGTGTGTGTGTACATGTACATGTTGGTGGTAGTATAGTAGCATTTGGTTAGCAGCACATCTGTGATGATATCCACTTAATAAGCTCAGGTTGTAAAGGTAGCATTCCACCAACAAGTTATGTTTATCTGTTCCACAGTAAAGAAAGATGCATATTTATGAAAATCAGATAAGAGAACATGCCTTAATGACTGAGTATGGGCCAAGTGTATGGAGGCTAGGACTGAATGTTCTTGCACGGTTAAGTTCATGCGTAGGTTCCTTATTTAACCCTAATGGGGGGGGGTTGAAAAAAGTGTGTATAATGGGAAGATTCAGGACCGTTTGGGGTTTGAAACAAAATGTTGGAAATCAAGAGATATTGGCCTTTGTCTGCCACATACAAAAACCTATGGTGTTGTGATATCTGTTGAAGATTTTCATAAATACCTCCTATCTGCATTTTCAAATTTCTATTTGACTGGAGAAAAAAATCCAACAGCAATGATTGATTTTGTTACGCCTCATAAAATACCTTGCTCTTAGTTTTCCATGTTCCATGTGTGTTATTAGCAGAGGTAAAATTATATCGACCAAAAACCTAAAATGATATAAATGGGATCCACACTAAGAGAGGCCAAGGGTGGATGCGAGAGGCCAGCTGGAGCCTTTTATTTCTAAAAAAACCAAATGACTATTTCATTTTGGTCCATTTCATTTCCTTCCCTTCAAAAAGCTTGTAAAAGCCTTAAACTGTAGTCCCAAACACTCAGGAAGGTGGTAAACGTCACATGAAAAATTTTCAAACATTTGGCTCCCATAAAACAAGCTAGACCCCTCCCCCAAAAATTTGGTTCTGGATCTGTTCTTGAGAGAAGTAAAAGCTAGGGTTAACATGGGTGATTCATTTGGTTGTTAAATATATACATGTATGTATGTATCTAATATTCAGAAATTGCCCTGTCATGCTAAGCAAGTCACCCAGTGCACTGTGTTTAGGCCCCTGCCCTTCCAGTCCTGTAAATTTAACAGATGTCGGTAAACAAACTATAAGATGTATGGAACTGTATATGGAATGGAACTGTATATGGAATGGAACTGTATATGGAATGGAACTGTATATTTTAAATTAGGAAATAAAAGAAGCACTACTGTTTAAACTCTAAATCACTCATGTTGTGTGATACATTCCGTTGTTTGATTATTCATCAATTACCAATGCAGGGTTGGATCCAAGAATTTTTTTTTTTTGGGGGGGGGAGTTGGCCTGGGTCCCCCAAGTTTTTTGGGGGGTCTGTTTTGGACAGGTGGACACATAGGTAATGCATTACATTGCTACTGATTTACAAATAAAACCTTACATAATGTCATTTTATCATTACTGTAGCCTGAGTGTAATTTCATTTATTTTCTTTTATTTTGTGTTTTTTGGAGTCAGAGCAGGAAATATTTTTGAGACCCCCCGTGATGGACATCATAGTGTGTGCCCTGCATTAAGGGCCTGATTTTGGTTAGCCCCCATATTTGGGTGGCATAACAAAAGGGGGTGTACAGGAATGCCCCTCTCCCCGCGCTTGAAAACCTCCCCCAGAAATTAAAGAAGGAACAAAAATCTGGTAAAACATGTAGTCTGCCTTGTATGAAATTTGATGTCTATGGTTTTCACGCGATCATAAAGCAGCCACCCATTAAAGGTAAAAATCGCTCCTCCCGGCCGGTAGGACAAACCAAGACTCGTTGGCTGGCGGTGGGCTGCGTAAGTGTGACCCTAATTTGCTTTGACCTACAAAAGGACTGAAAATTTTTGGTGTTTGAAAACCAAAGCTTTGATATCTCCATAGAGTACCGAAGGGAATACGTCACGCGCACAATTGTGTAAAAGGCATGCATAAGTGCGAGCACCAGCGCGTGAACTAACGCGCGCGTACTCCATTCGTTTGCACTGCACTTTCTGCTCCACAGTTACGTCACACTTCGGTACTCTTTTCTCCTGTGCACGATCTGCCTGCAGACGGTCTTTACCCTTCCAATATGCGCTATGCAAAGGCGTGCAACGTAGACGTAGCCGTAGCTCAAAAACCCGTTTCACTTACGACCTTAGTCGGTTTGTGGACTCAGTAATTGTTATTGGATATTCAGGTTTAGTCTGGTAACCGGTGAGAGTTCACGCGTGCTGAACGACATAAGATGGCGGCTGCTCGTAATTTGCGTTAGTACTGCAAAACAAAAACATGTAGGGGCCTACAGTACTTGTAAGTTTATTGCGACTTGTTTTTCTTTCCCTAAACTGAAGATGTTTGTACCCGAAACTAGATAATGTATATGGTAATTTGATGCTGTTTATTAAACGTATAATGAGAAAGATTAGTTGTATTTCGAAACAGAGTTTGCAACAAATGCAGACAAGACATGTACATGTAGGCCTAACCTGTGGGAGGCTTTTGTGTGGAATGTGGACATAAAAATAAAAGTTAGACCTAGGCCTAGTACTAGGCCTTGTACAAATTAATTGTCATATGATCAGATTATTCTTTCATGATCATGTTTAGTTGAGATTTTGTGCTGTTGGAAAGAGATCATGCATGTAGGCCTAGGCCTCTGGACAATACTTGATGCCCCTGTGCACAAACCTATGAGTATGAGACTTGTCTGACATGTCTGAAAAACCTTTCTAACAATCTAAATAAATCTAAATATCATATGGAACTCTTTCCGTGCTGTTAATAAAAGACGTGATCCTTCATTGGAGCTCAAATGCAGTGATGTACACCTACATGTAGGCCCATTATTTTTTATGAAGGGTCTAGCAAGGACCCATTTAGTATTTAGGCATATTTATCATCTTCTGCACTTTGCCTCAGTTAACTTACATGTACAGTGTAGCTTGTTGTCATATGGATTTTTTCAATAGTGGACCAAAATGTGCAATTTTCCCTTAGGAAATTTATTAAGGTATTCATCGTGTGTTTAATGAAATTTGGTTTTGAAAGATCAACAAGCAGGACAAGCTAACAGCTAACTGTACATGTAGATTCGTAAAAGTAATCAAAGTAAAAGTAAACAAAGGAGAAATAATTTAAAGACATGTATTCCACTGATCAGCCAATCTTTATGCACATGTAGTTCGTAAATTTTAAAACCCCAGCTCCTGTCTGTGTTTAATTTGCTCTCCCTTTCTCTGAATACCAAATGTTTTCACATAGACTTATGAAACTGAGCGTAAAAGTTCACTTTTGACAGTACAGAGTCATGCGTGCCGTTGGGCATGCATGACTCTGTACGTCATACATCATACATATGTCGTACATACTGTAAGTATGTCAACAAAATTGGACGCACCCCCAATGTGGCACTGAACAAAATTGGGGCGGTGGACAAGTTGGAATGTACATGTATGTACGGTACATGTAATTAGGCCATTCCAGTCATTGCCATTATTAAAGCACACGTATTATGTTTGAAACATCCCCAACCCTAAAGAAAGAGATGCCTTACATTTTATGTAACTTCTATGTTTTTTAAAGTGTGGAGTTGTTTATTTCACCAAAGATGAAATTATTGTAAATTTACAGTTTTTAAATATTAAAATTTTGAAATTAAAAACCTGAACAGTAACATGAAATAGGTGTTTTTTGTTTTCAGAGGCAACTTGTTGGGTTTATTTTACTTTTGGATGAAAACCCCATGTGGTTCTGGTTCAGTTTGAAAAAGTTCATTTGTGAGTCATCAAGACAAATCCTACTGCAGTTTTAATTTGCTCCTAAAGCTGAAATGCTGGTCATCATCTGTAATTCTACAGATCAGCTATTATTTCTTTTCAATTTGATTTTGCAGTTTTTATTTTTTTACCTTGAGCAGGCATTTGAGGGCATGTTGCATTGCTATAGTATTTTGATTCCCTTTCAGTACGTGTGAGTGTGCTTCTTTTGAATACAGTATCCGCAAGTTCTTTGATGCAGCAATACAATTACAAGCCAGATGAGCAAAGAAAGATCTCATGATGTCATCATCCAAGCAGAAAAGACGGCCTGGATTAGCCAGACAGGATTTAAAGAGAAAAGGTAGGCACAATCATATCTGAAGGAAATTTGTACTTACATGTATAGGTAAACCTTAACTTTTGTTTAAGGTTTATGAATAAAAAAAAAAAAAAAAAAAACCTCAAACTCATAAACTCATTGAGAAGCAAGCCCAGCTGCAGCTATCCTACATGGCAGGGCATGCGAAATTTAAAAAATGTAGTTGCCCTTCGTGCAGGGGAATCTGAAATCTGGTTGCCCAAATTTCATTTTCAGTTGCCCGATAAAGAAGTTTTGCCCCAAGCTGTAGGCCAATATAGAATACATGTTTACTTTCCTAAAATGACCTTACTTAACATTTGTTTGAAGGGGAGCAGGCAGCACAAAAAAATCAAAACCTAAAAAAATTACAGGTCACTACGCAAGGTTCCATGAATGTTTTTCCTAGTTTCAGATCACGCACGCAAGTACAAGTACGAACGTCATGAACTCAACTACACATGTGTAACAGATTTGTATGTGACGTAATGTGTTTGTCAACTTTGCGGTGTTGAGGGGATATATGGTCCATAGCTTGCTGAGTAGTAAAGTCAAGTAAAAATTTATGCAGGCTATCCACTGAAATTAATGCACTGAAATTCTAATATATTAACTAATTCCCTTCAAAATAAGACATGCTTTACTAGAAAATATGCTTGTTACAAAGTGTTTGGCTGAGACGCGGGTTTACACTTGACTACTTTTTGCCCGTGGGGCTGGCAGCCTGGAACATTTGGTTGTCTGACAGAATGTTTTGGTTGTCCTGGAACGTCAGACTACCAATTCTGCGAGCCCTGCATGGGGCTTGATGCCTTGTGATAATTAAAATTAGAAGTGACTTGAGTCCAAGAGTGTGATATTAGTTTCCTGCACTGTAGAAAATGTGATGTTTTCCGGAGTGATAGAGCCAAAATGGCCAGATTTTTAGTGTCAATCCACATAGGCCAAAAACATTTTTATTAGCAAGTTAGAAACATAAATAAAACAAAAAAAGTGAAAAAATCCTCGTCTTTTCCGTCTTTACAAATCACCTCTGAACAACCTTTTATACATTAAAACGTTTTTAATTGATACGTTTTCCTGCTCACATTTGCAACTTTTGAAAAGAAACCTCTGTTATTTTCTTAAGTTCCCTTCTCATGTTGCTGTCGCAGTGGTGAAAACACGTACTCAAAGCTCAATGCAGTAAAGTAATGCTGCGCTGGTTCCCACTGTGCAGCACCCATGCAATGAACACGGAATGGAAATGTGTCAACTAGTCTATTGTTATGGCAGGTTCCTCAAAATACGGACCATGAGATAATGTTCAACTTTTGGGGTTTATTTTTTCTGAAGTGAACAGCAGTGAATTAATTCCCCATGTTTGATGAAATGAGGGAAATCATGGCTGATATCAGGAACAATGATAGCTGTGCCCATTTTTCAACTTAATTGGAATTGATTATTTAAAGTCTTGAATGTCAACATTTTGGACAGACGTGAACAACCTGTTGAAATCCTAGCCAATAAAATTTACCGAGGAGTGGTAATCGCCGCGGTTTTTTACTCAGATTTATATGTGGAGAAAGATGATAATATTTACATATATTAAATCAGGTCCCGAAGTCGGCAGTCATGAACTTCATTCGATTCTGTCAAAAAAATTGACTGCAAAAAACAGCGAGTAAAATCATGTACAACACAAGCTTTAAAAAAAGTGCAAAGAAGTACCCCCCAAACCATCATCCTTTTATGACTGGATTGATCACATCTTCTTCAAGTACTTTTCCGAAAACCGCAGTCCAAAATACTGATCATGGTAATTTTGTGGCTTCGTCATTATCTCACTTTGACGTTAGAGAAATGTTTTGCTGCATTGTGGGATGGTTTACCTTTGACATCAACACAAATAGTGCGCCCTCTATTTCATTCGATATTCATGAGCCCCTCTACAGAATGGCGATGCTCCGGGATTTTTCCTCTTCATACAAAGGTTTCTTGAAAGAAAATCTGTCATACTGAATGACGTTCACAAAAAAGTGACGTCTGAGACATAAAATATGATTCATAATGAAAATCTAATGCCCAGAGCTGTTAATTTTAATTTCAGTAGGGATATCTCCAAAATAAGCGGCAAAATGAACATTGCGCATGGAATTTTCGAGCACTACATGTCACTGCGTTTTCGGCATTCACAAACGTCATGCATTTTTGGTCAAAATTCTCGAGCGTCATCAAAATTCTGTCAAATATGACATTTGCAATGAACATATTTTACTCATTTTACATTTTTGATACAGTCAAAGTGAAAGATTATTTTCGGTGGTTGAAAGGTGTAAGACCTGGCAGATATGCTGGTATAGTGAGAAACGGCAAGAGAATGAAGAGAGCCAAACTTTTCTCATCATTTTCTGTCAAATTTGTGCTCTTTTTTTCATGGCTTATATTTTTTCAGAGTTATTTCTTAGGTGCTTTAAATACATCAGTTGAAAAATATACTGAATATACTGAACTGAATTTTTATAAATCTGAAGTTACTAATTTGTATTTTACATGATCAAAGTCATTCTTTTAGAAATTTTGAAAAATGACATGTGGAGTTGCATTTTGGTCCATTTTATGAAGAATGTGCCCTATACTAATTGTGTTGTTACATTGCTCCAGCCGTACATGCATGCAACCCAACAACATCGATGTTGTAAGAAGATTTCTGCAAGTTAATTCACAGAACTTACGTCTGTTGTCTGTGTGTATTTTCTATGTTCACGAGTTAAACTAAATTGAGGCAATTTTGGGTAGCTTTCCTCCCCATTCATGCCATTCGATCAGCACAAAAAAATTGACCAATACAACCAAATTTTTCCAACTTACCAACCCTGTTTTGAGAGGCATGTTATTGGAAGCAGAAACAGTTTTTTTTTTTGCCTTAACACGTTTCAGAGATTGTTTGATAATGCATGTATACATGTGTAGCCATTGTGTGCCCATATCTACATACATACTTGTACCTTTTTATAGTTCATTGTGTTTTTGCAATGACAGAGCACAGTGTGAGAGTTACCAGCAAGAGTGCTCATGGAGCATCTTACAGGTCTAGACCACTGCAAGGCAAGTCATTCTACCTGGATGTCCGTAGACAAGTTGCTAGACTCAAGAAGGATCTAGAGGATCTGGGTGGAGTAAGTCATCTTACAGTATGTCACATTCATAACCATTTGGTGCCATTCATTCATCAGCGTCTGGTATTGGTGAGGTGCCGTGTCTTTTAGATGTTGTAAGTCCCTTTATACTATGTGATGACTTGTTAAACTTGTGCTGAGGTGTGGTATCCTGAAAAGTAATTCGCATCTACGAGTCTTTGTTTCTACCGGTAGTTAGACTTTTTCTAATTGAGGATCACACACAAAAACAGTGTGTAACAACAAATTAATTGATTATATTTCACACCACAAATAAGGATTTCCTGCTTCAAAGTGTCATAATTCCAAAAACATCAAGCATTTCAATCATTAAATCTACTGCATAATGGAGACAGTTTTTTTGCAGAAATACCAAATAGGGTGTAGAATGTATTATTTAATTCATACAATTTTGTGGTGCCCTCTCCCAAAGCCAAAGGGACGTACATGTACTGCATTTGCCTTGTCTGTGTTTACAAACCTCACATACGTGTACCTAGTTGATTTGTGAACAAAAGAGGTCCACATAATGCAGGTTGTGTGAACCTTTTTGGGCTAAGCCAGGTCCACACCAGCTTACCCCCTTTTTGAAAAACGGTTTAAGAGGCATTTGGGGGTAAGGGTTATTGGAGGAAAGGAAAGAGGAATAGTCAAACTGTCAACCCCATTGGCCATCGTCATAATGTTTAGAACAGTAGAAATGGGTTTCCTACCATAACTCAAGAAAGACTGAACATGCCAACTTCAAACTTGGTAAGGAGGCTGGTTTTGGTGTCCTTCAGAGGCAAATTAATTTTGGACTCCATGGAGTTAAGGTCAACGTAAATGATTGAAACACTTGTACATGTACATGTATATGTGTTTCCAAACAAAAGAAGAACTGGATATCAACTGCTACATGAAGCTTGATATGTTGGTTAGTCTTGATGTTCTCTGGAACCTAATGATTTTGGACTGTATTGACCGCAGGTTGAGGTCACTCTTGGACAAGCACTGAGTATACGGTGTCAATAAATACATTTATATACGTTGGGCAAGGGCAAAACCTATAATATAAATAAAGTGCATCTACAACCCAAAACCCTGCCAAGGAGATTCAAACGATGTCAATTCAGCTAACTTTTACGCTGGTACCCCTACTTGGCAAAGTCCCCATATTGGGATATCATTCCAAGATAGGGATGAATGAACCATATGCTTACCAGAATCAGCTGGCCGATTCAACACTGATGGCAGTGGATGTCGGTGTCACAAGCAGTGACTGTTATGAAAATTGTTTGTGTTGTACGATTAGATGTAATCCAGGTTTAACCCTTTGTAAGTTAACTAATCAGCACTGTATATTCAGTGTTGTCTGAGAGCTCTAACAAATCATCTCCTGATGTTCAAAATGTTCTTTTGGCTCTCAGGTGGTAGAAACTTTTTTGAGTAAAGATGTTAGCTATGTTGTGTCCGATCGGCCTGAAGTGGGACTGGAATCTTCTAAGAATGCAGTTTCATTGCACTCTGGAGCGAGCCCTGCTGTGTCTACACCGAGTCCTTTCAATCAAAGCAAAGAGTAAGTTGATAGCTACAGTGCACATTTTATATAGTGTTAGACTTTAAAGTTTAGCAATTAGATGAGGTCGCAGACAGTTTTTGGTGTAAAGAAAGGTATGCAACTTTCATAGCATTTTTGATTCTACATTACTGCACAACTCCCTGGCAAAAATTCCTCTAAAGTTTGGAAGTAACATACCATCAACTGAACTGTTGTCATTCAAGCTGTAGCTTCAGCAGGGTTAGGGTTTAACCCTAACCCTGCCAGACTAGCAAAGTGCAACTGGAAAACTGACTGCAATCGACTGATGGCACCAGCCCCAGTTTATCAAGCTAAATATAAAGGTGATGGTTGGTTCACTTGCCAGCTTCCTTAAAACTGCTAAAACCCAGGAGCTTTAGTAGGAAATATCCCTTGGCCCCCACAAAGGTGTTGCCCCTGGACCTCCCACCAAGGTTTTGCCCCTGGACCCCCCACCAAGGTGTTGCCCGTGGATCCCCACCAAGGTGTTGCCCCTGGACCCCCACCAAGGTGTTGCCCCTGGACCCCCACCAAGGTGTTGCCCCTGTATCCCCACCAAGCAGTTTCCCGTGGACCCAACCATGGTGTTGCCCATGGACCCTCACCAAGGTGTTGCCCCAGGACTCCTGCATAGGTGTTATCCCTGGACCCCACCTGTTGAGGCCTTTGCAAAGGCGCAAGTTTTGTGCATGCTTTTTGTGTTCTGTTTTCTTACTTTCCAATGTTGGCTGGTATGCAAATGGTGCAGACCGATGTGTTTGGCAGTACATTTAGCCAAAAGACCCTGGAGGGTTAGGGTTACTGTAGTGTATCAACCTGATCACAATGGTTCTGTATAGATGTTTGTTCTGGTTTGTTTTGCCCCATCTGTAATCACAGCTCAGCAAGTGGAGCTACAGACTCTGGAGGAAGGGAAGGCATGGTAAATTATTAATTGTTAATTCTGCTATAAGTTACTAGACAAAGCTACTGTATGTCCGTGTACCCTTATTCTCATCTAGCCACAATGAACTAATATTTCACGTCAGTAGATATTTCGCACAGGGTTAATTGCTTTGTTGACATGTATTGTTTCATTTGCTGGTAAGGAAAAGAAAATGGGTTAGATGTTCCATACTTAAATGAGTGAGACTTTTTAAATGCCTGTCATGCATAGTAGTATACATTGCTTTTTGCAGTAGGTAGCAAAACTGAATGTGGTCCATCTGTGCTAACTGCTGTATCTGTGTTCATGCTTGAGTTTATTCCTGAAGTACATGATTGCACATCATCAGGGAGAAGTATCTTTGAACTATTCTTCCTCATTAAGTTCGTCTAGTTTTCACTCAGTTTTATTGATGACCAGTTAACCACATCCTGCCGGGGGCATTTATAAATGTTGATTCTGCTAGGCCGGAGTATTCTTCATTTTTTTCTGTTTTCAAAATTCTTTAAATATTCATAACTTCATTTACTGGACACTTACACCCACGTGAAGGACTGTCTGGTTTCTACTCTTATCTGACAGACAATATCTATTGATGCCGGAGTATTTCAGCCAGGCCTTTCGCCTTGTAAAAAAGCCCAGATTGTGCAGTGTTGGATAATTTTCTTTTGTTACCGAAACTGGCACAGTGCACTGCTGTTTCAATGGGGGCCAGATTAGCGTGCAGTGTCATGTGTAGCTCATCGCCGCGGTGGTGGAGTGCTTTTGTCCTCGGTGGTAATTCGCTTGTACTGAATGCCCCAAACAGTGGCATACTGTTACAAAAAATGCTGGATTATCTCCACTATTGACTGTGAAAAAATGTTGGTAATGCCCAGCAGCCTGGTCTTTTGTTATGAGTACCGTCTTTCTGTCACAAGGCCCAGTTCCCTTTGTCCGATTTCGCACACTTGGCAGTGCATGTAAAGAATACGTGCCCAAAACCAGGCGCCCCGGCAGAAAGTGGTTTATAGGCATTTTCTGTGTAGTGGGTTTATGTTTTACTCTTTTTGGTGCTTTTTTGATGAAGTTTAAAAAGCTCCAGAAAGTTGAGTGCTTTTAGTCCTTTGTTGTTTAGGCATTTGGGTACATGTAAATTGTGAATCAATTCTCAATCTGCCTCAAATCCTCCCAAATCTCCTGGTGGAGTCAGGGTTAATAATTACATCGTAACACATTGTTGGTTTTCTTTTTGTTTCTGTGAAGGTGACACGAGGAAAGGCTATTGTTAAGAAAGCAACCATATCTCAGGTATTGTCCACTCCATTCTTGATGATGTGTATTCATAATCTCTTTAATCACAACATACGTTTTGTATATGTTGTGAATTTTGGAATAGTAGACGACTGCCAGTTATTTCTTGACTGTGTCAACACAAGACATTTTCATCATCAATTAATCACATGTTGTAAACCCAGCATGTGATCTTTGTATCAAGGAGTACAATTTTATGATGACAAGATAAGTTATACTGATCCAAGTTCCACTTGTCAGTCGCATTTAGGGAATCAGCATGCAATGTCAGTATTGGTCTGTTCAGGTAAGTTGCTTTCCCACAAATTGCTCATATAAACTTAGGGGAAAGTCTTTATTGCAGTAAAAAAAGTAGTTATTATAATCATCATGAGAAGAAAGTCATGGTAATGAAAGCCACATTTTTATTTATATTTGCAGACATATGGAACCAGCAATGTGTTGGCCAATGCGCGCAACTGGGGTGTCACCATTCACTTCATTGACAGTATCCTTGGTCTTTAAACCTAGTAAATGAATCTGATTGGTACAGGGACTATGTTTGATGACTTGAAATGTGGTTAATATCAATATAGGCATAGACCAAAAGGAAGTTGATCGATTTATTTCACATGTGAGATTTTAAACATCATTGACTGTGATGCAGGATGTTACAATTTGTTTTTTTACCTGAAAGATACAAAGCGTTGGAGGTACAGCAAAGAATCCTAGACTCAGCAGCTAGACTGGTCACTAGAACTACACAAGGAGATCATGTAACTCCCATACAGAAAGAATTACATTGACCTCCATTTGAGTGTTGTATTAAGTACAAGATTCTTTTAATTTTATATCAATGTTACAGGGTGCATCTCTTTCGTTTTTGCAAGATATAATTATGAAATACTTCCCTGTAAGGACTTTCAGATCTACCTCTGAGTCTCTTTTGAAGAGTGCTCCCGCTCGCACCCACTTTTCTGGTTCTCATGCATTTCAGGTTGCCTCTGCCGAACTGTGGAATAACTTGTCCGATACTGTGAAATTGGACGAAACAGTTGATTGATTTAAATCATTGAAAACTCACTTGTTCTTAATAGATAATTACAAGGATATATAAAGTTGTTGGTTCCTTTATGGCTTGCTATTTTTTAAGGCACAAATGTTCAATAATTCTCTCTGTATTTCTTTCTCTTTAAGCACATAGAGACTTCCAAAGTGATATTCGCTCTGTAAATAACGCTTAGTATTATTCTTTTTATTATTATTGCAGCCAGTCAGAATGGTGCTGATTATGGGACTTTTGATCAGATGTTAGTGGGTACCCACATTTATATAGATTATTATGCAGTGTCAAGTGATTGTGAGCTACATGCACATGTATCTGTATGGAGGTGTATTGGTGTGTGATGGTCATGGCTTTGGATACATCCTGTTACCGACCTTAACATTTCTTTCACAGCTGTCCTGAAGTATATTCACAAGGAGAAACAAAAAATAAAAGATGCTGGGGTCACCTTACCACAGGTGAGAACAAATCCAGATAATTTAAGGAAACGTGCGTACACTTTCAAATTAAACCTTAACCCTAACAGTCCCAAATCCTCCAATTTCAATACGATTTTACATACACCCTATTGGGTTAGGGTTAATGCACCCACCTTGAAGTGTCCCCTGAAGGCTTGCCCTGCAGCATTTGTGCCTCTCTGTTAGCATGATAAGGATACATGCATTTTGTACTTGTAACCCTCTCCTTGACAATCAGATTTGAGATTTTTAAACAAGTTTAATTTAGATGCCACAAAAAGATGTTCATATACATTTATGGCCAGGCAAATTTTTTTTATTGATTTGTGTCAGTGAATTTTAAAAACTTTCAATTTCACAACAAATGGACAGAATGAAACATTCACAGAATCTGATGAAACCAGGTCCGTAATATACCAAATGAAAGTTATTTCACGCCCTTCCATACCGTGTAGTAAATTCCAACAGTCTGTTTTTACACCTTCCATTTTCTTTGAAGATCACAGTTGTTCGGTTGATTTCAAAGAATGTAGTGTGGGTTTCCACCTTTAGAGAACTTTGCTTGACTTGAAATGTAGCGCTATTGCTATTGTGTTATCATTTGTGCCTAATGATCCATTATGGCATGTATTACTGCAAAATGAAGCCATCAGTAGGTGTTACCTTTGTGAAAAGAAATACATGTATTTTGCTTTGTAGTTTTGTTGGTTTACCCTTTCTGATTTTCCATTGATTGTTCTTAGACACAGTCTCAAATGGTGAAAGATAAAGTGCACACGTCCAAAGGTATGTTTTAGTGTTATTTTTGTGATACTGAAAAAAAAAATGCTTTGTGTTGGAGACTCATTGTCAGTCTTGAAACTCAGTGGTTTGCCTAAAAATTGATTGGGTCAACTGTGCTTGTGATACTTTGAAAAGGGGGTGTGACTTCTTATATATGTACCTTAAAAATTGTTATTAAAAAGTTCCAAGAGAATGCTCTCTGAATGTACATAGCACATCCAGGAGGAAGGGTCTTACACGTTTGAGTGTTTCAGGAACATGAGCTATTTCACGTTAGTGTACTTCTAACAACTTCCTAAACTGCAATTTAACTGTCATTTTTTTTATTTACAGAGAGGAAGTTATCTAAACCATCTCTGAAGGTCGAGGATGCTTCAGGGTAAATAGTTAGGTCATACTTGTAATGCCATAAGAATTATATGGACACTGTGCATGCATGAGACAGACTCTCTTTTATTTGACAGTGACATCCTATGGAGCCGACATAATAATTACACATCCTAGTTAAGCATGGAAAGCATACCAGCTGTGGCTTTTAGATGTCAACCTAGGGCAAATTCAGGCAACGACTATAGAGAACTGTAGTTTGACTGACACCACCGGGACGATGGCTGGTTTGAACTATCTAGTCGACAATTTTGGGACCAGGCCCAGGGATATGGTTGCACCACTGGTTATCAATAGTCAGTTTCATTTATCATTACCCAGGGAACCATTCATCTGAAAATAACTACAAGATTTCAGTGACCATGTACGCTGCAAGAATCGCAGCCAATGGTGAAATGGGAGAACAATGAGATTTAGAAAATTGATTGACTAGGGTCGTTTTGAGTGTAGCAGAATTGGGTATGTGCATTGTTAAAAAGCGATTGACTATTGTTGAACTATAGTTGACACCTGAACTTGCCCCTAGGCTGTCTTGTTTGTCACCAGTGAGGAAGTTCTTCAGCATGGAGACAGTACACTTTGCTATGGCAATAAATGGGCTCAAGTTTTCTCACGTCATTTTCAAGTGCCTAAAAAAGCCCTATAAGCAATCACATGAGGCAACCTAATGCAGTCAAACCTCATTAATAAGAGGTCCTTCGACTTTGCAGATTACCTTGTTATAACAGGAACCTTGTATGATCAGGACTGAAAACAATGAACAACAGGATTTGGACCTGAAAATGTCCTTGTTACAAGCAGAATGTGGTAACAGTGATCTCATTAACCACTACCAGCCGGGGACTCCGAAATCGGAGCCGTATGGTTTATATGTGTGGCCGGGGTCTCCGAACTCGGACAAAGGAAACAGGGCCCTGTAACGAAAGACCTTACTCCGAACAAAAGACCAGGCTGCTGGGCATGACCGGCATTTTTAACTCTCAAAAGTGGTGATAATCCAACGTTATTTTGAAACCGTATACCAGGGTTTGAGGGACTTAGAGTAAGCGGATTACCACCGGGGACAAAAGCTCTCCACCACCACAG